AAGCGAATACTATTTTTTTTAAATTTCCATCACTATTAATCCCCTAATACCACACCAAACTGACTACACATGTTAATAGTATAGTGCTGTGCTGATAGTGACAGGATGTTGATATAGATTAGCTATAGTCATGCTCACCAAGATCATTTCGCGACACTGTTTCTGGAGCTGTAACTTGTATGAAGAGTATTTCACAGTGCATTTCCGTAGTCACTGGATTGATGGTCGATTTTGTGGGGTATATTTCAATTCGGGGGGTTATTTCATTTCCAAGGGAGATTACGGTGAAATAGTTAAATTCTCTATGGATCAAATGTATTGGCTGTTACATAGCATACTATTATCAATAATATTCCTGACTGACTAAATTGCATGGTCAGTATACGTTACTGGGAGTTTAGTAGAGCACCCACACATGTGTTGCTAAGACAATGAAACGGGCTCATAATATTTCAGCATGTATTTTGGTACAATCACACAAAATGCAGCAGAGTCAGCCATATAATTTTAGAATAATACACACACATCAGAGGAAATTTTATGTACTTTGTACATAAGGAAATTACACACTTGGAAAAGTTTGAAATTTAAAGTTTGAACAATGTTATTTCTGGAGCCCTGGAACAATGGTGGAGATGTGGTCTTGATAATTCTCCTGTGATGGCACAACTTCCAGCCTCAGTACATCAGCTGGAGTAACCTGTGATTACAATTATACCACAGCGAAGAATGCATTTCTAATGTGTAATAGTGAACCAACCTCACTTTCCAGTTGGTAGGTAATACCAGTCACCTGCAGTAATGTTATACACTACACAGTTGATTTTCCAATGAACAATTATTACTAGCTCAGTAGAATCTTGTCCTTGAGATAACTGCCCTGCAACCACAGCTCCAAACAGAGGCCCGTTCACAATTCCAGTCACCTGCAGGATTATACCTTATCCTCATGCTAAATCCTGCAGCGTGTATGTAATATATACCAGCTCTGAAGGGTTTGCAGTCGATTCTTCCGCTCTCGGCTGAGCGATGTGTAGGTGCAGCTCGCGGTAGTGTTGAACGACGTCGCGGCGACGAGGTGCCGGACGCGCGAGGTAAGCCACTAACAGTACTAACAGCAGTATGATCACTGCCACTGATATCGTTACGCAGTACATGCTCGCCTTGAATGAACCAGGCTCCTCTCACTCTCTACGTATTTATACTACCGCGCGGCCGAGGGGATTCCCCCATTTAGGCTCACGCTCGAGCTCCAGTCTTTGGGCACCTGCGCTCTATAGTATATAATAGGACCTAAACATTTACATTCCCCAGCTCAATCCTTGCGGCGCCAGGCTTTCCCGCGCATCGCCGATCGAGCGCCGACATCAATGCAATGTGCTAGTAGTATAAGCTTATAGTATGCTGCGTGTTTTGCCGCGGCATAGGAATACAGCAAACAACGATACGCCGTCATGTCAACAAGCTAGAGCCTCTGTGTCTGTCTAGCCATCGCGGTCGATATGATCCGCGCGAGGTCCGCGAGAAAGTTTTGTCCTCGATCTTTTCCAGCGTATATATACGTGGATCGGCGGCGTCTCTTCGGCCGAGCCATCGGGTTCCCAGCTCGCGTTTCGTCTGTCTTTGATACTTGACAATCTGAACGAGCACCCTCGCTCCTCCCAGCCCCGGTTGTGTTGCGGCAGTGTCATCACCAAGATAGAGTCGTGAGCGAGAGATGGCGATGGCCAAAGTAGTGGGGACCCGCGGCAGGGAAGTTCTGCGAGGCCCGCTCATGCACCGAAAGAAAGGCTCGGGAGCTTGGAAGACTAAGCCAAGCTAAGGTGTATTCTGCCTGGATGTATGTTCTGCACCCGGGATATTTTATACCCCGTGCTAGCTGTGTAGGTTAGATGCTGAGCCGCGGGAACTAACTACGCGATTTAGTGAGCCGAGGAGCCCTGAGCTGTCGGCGTCCCGAGCGCATCGAGGGCGCTACTAAGGGCTCCGAGGCTCACTAAATCACGTAGTTTCCAGTGTGACGCGTCTAACCGGCTTAGACTACAGCGCCGTCCCGCTGCAGTGTCCGTTGTAGGCGTTGCTGCCCTACGGGATCGCGCCGCCCGGCCGTTTGTACGCGTTTTTCCCTGTACGCTTTCTCTAGCGTCTTCCTAGCTCTCTAGTAGTCATGCGCTGCTGCTAGAAGAGCCTGTTCCTGGTTTCTTCGTGGGAAGAACCGCTCCAGAAGCTCGGTTCACCTTCCGCGCGCGTGGCGTCTTTTCGAATTGAAGGCGTGGTTGCCGGGGCTAACCGCGGAAGAGGTCACTAACAAAATTAGTCACCGCTAAACTCGCAATCTGATTGGTCAATTGCGTGTTACCGTAGTCTAAGCGTTATTAGGAGTGTCGAAATAAACGCAGCGCAGACGAGCGCGACGTTGAGTCACGTGATCATGCTGATATACAGGAAGTGGAATGTTTGTATTACATAACCATTAGATTTACTCGTGATGGGTAACATAGCATGCACGTAGCCTCGTTTCGTTTGAGTCTCAAGACTACTGAGCGATTTCTCAGTTGTGCTGACTTGACAGTCTCACTTTGAGTCAACGAATCAGATTGCAGTATTGCCACCAGTCAATATCATTTGATATTGTGCAATCGTTTTGTAAGGAAAAGTTTTATCTGGGGGGGGGATAGAATATCATCCGGCGGGATAACAATTCGGGGGGATGAAATGTACCGCTACACCGGATCGAGGCGAGCTAGCTCGCGGAGTCGACAGAGTCCCAATGCGCCTACAATCATCAAAGCGCGGTGGGGCATGAAAAACGAGGCTAGTTCAGAACCAGCTAGTGAGTCTTCTCTCTCTAAGCCTCTGCCTCCTCCTGGCCCTCCTCCTCCCACAGCACAGGTCTCCCCTGCCTCCCCTGCCTCCATTCCTCACTGGCACCTTTCTCTCTCCTCCCCTCCCTCTCCTCCCTCTCCTCCCCCACCTGTATGGCAGGGCCCAGTCTTCCTGCCACTGACTCCACCTACACATTATCACACAGCAACCAACACTGATAGTGATATGGGATCATCTTTGCTCATTACTCATGGGTCTATGTATATAGCCTATACCGGCTTAGTTGTCATTTTGTGCAAGCTCATATTATATAGCATGTAATATCTGATGTTCTGATATACTATAGCTAATGTGATGCTATTGTGTGCGATGTATGCCTGGGAGGTGCGTACAAAATTTCTTTTTTTAAGCTACGAAAATTCTCTCAATTGATCATATACCTCAGGTCAGGGTTGGTAGGTCTGTGAGTCTGAGTCTTGCTCTTGAAAAGCTGGAACTGTTTCCCTGCAGCCCTCATCTCTCCATTGTTGTAGAGGACGATGGAGTAATTGAGGTGAATGAGAGGGTTATCCCTGGAGGGGGGAGGTTGTATGATACTGTAGGTCCAGGGAGCAGTGGTGTTGTAATTATGTACCTGTCTAGGGTGAGAGCCTGTTCGTATGACTTGCAGGCATTCTCATAGTCATCCATGTGCACCAGTGCAACTGCAGGCAGACAGAATACACACATCAGGGACTCAACACATAAAAAAGGGAAAAGCAAAGGCAGAATGATTCCCAATGGGAACCAGCATGCACAGGAACTGCAACCCACCTTTTGAAGCTAGAAAAGGTGGCAAGGCAAAGGTTCGGAGTTACATTACTATAATTATAGACAAAACTCGACCCAGATGACTCCCACCACATTTTTTGGGGATTTGGAATGTTCCCCAGAAGGCAAACAGAATATACACATCAGGGACTCCAATCTTTGTGCAAAGTTTCATGTGCATATCTTAAGTGGTTTTTGAGATACGCTTGTCTAAACTGAACAACAACAACAACAACGAGAAGAAAGAAAAGTGACTTTTTTGAATAAATGAAGTACCGATTATGCGATTTAAGCTATTCCTTGGATACATGCTCTTTGTGATGATACAAATTAGTCTGATGTGTCAAAAGTTGGATCTGATTGAAATAGAAAGTGAAACATGAAAATCTCAAATGTATGGACATAATGCAGGACAACCTGTGTCATCCCAAAGCAGCTAGAAAAGGTGCCAGGACTTCACACAGCCGAGGCAAATGTCCGAGTCCGGACTTACATTACTAGACAAAACTCAGGACCCGAATGACTCCCACAACATTAATTTTAGATTTGGAAATGTTCCCCAGAAGGGGATGGGCACTAGCATCGGTGCAAGACTAGGGCAACCCTTGAGGGAGGTGGAGCAAGCCCCAGACCTTCCCTCCTGGCTCAAAAATTGATGTAATATCGAGCAGGCATTGCCTGCGTACCAGATATTACACGGGTAAGAACAGTTCAAAAAATCAATTTTCAAGTGGCAGGGCATGCCGCACATGCAAAAAATTGAAAATGTGCGTGGGTTGTCGCCAACCCCTGCCCCTCAGCCTAAAGCTGGGAGGGTGTGATTGGATACAACACTTGTGGTTTTCCTCAAATATTCATGGCCACAAATATGCATTGGAGTCTGAGCATGCTCGGTAATTATCTCCAACATAATGTACATCCTTTGTCATGGTTTCCTATCCAAACAAACCACAAAACACCTCTCTATAGATCTGGCTGTGGACACTCTGTAGAACGGCAATGGGCCTAGTATGTCTTTGTTATTATAGTAGAGAAGAGGTTCCACTGTTGTGTAGTGCAAATCATACGAAACTTTTAGCAATTTCACAGACAGAAAGATCGCTCGCATATTGCACTCCCAACAACTGCCCGGCCGACAAAATTTCACGGAGAGAAATTTTGCAGACAGCTAATAAACCACGAAATTTGTGAGTTGCCTTCCTCGACAGTTTTCCAAGAGACAGAGACCTGCAAGTAGCATGAAGAGCTGTCCAGACTGAGGGTTGAGTCCCACAGCGGCCCGCAGGAAGTGGTAGGCGGAGGCGAGGGTAGTCGCGAGCTCCCGACATCTACGACAGACTTGCCAGAGCCCTGGGTCAGTGTGTGCGTGTGATTAACCCAACCAATACATCTCTCTTCTCCCATCTTTCCCCTCCCCCTTTTCCCCCCCAGCCCCCAGTATTTACGAGAATGACGACATCAAGAAAGGGATTCTCCTCCAGATGTTTGGAGGCTCGAGGAAAGACTTCCAGAACACTGGTCACGGGAGATTCAGAGCCGACGTCAACATCCTCCTCTGTGGAGACCCGGGCACCAGCAAATCGCAACTACTCCAGGTCCAGTAGTGAACTACCTGTCAGATAGAGAGGACTGCATGTTCAGTATTGCAACTGTCTGTGAGTTAGCACACTTGCTGAGCTCTTAGTAGTAGTATCCCATCCCTAGCTTCCACATAGACTGGAATGCAATTCGGTGAGGAATGCGAGATTCACAGTTTGTACTTGTTTTTGGTAGTTCATCACAACCCCTATATAGCTTCTATATACTTTACTGCAATGCAATTGGGTGAGGAATGCAAGCTTCCCAATTACTTGTGGAATGGTGTTTTTGACAAATTGAACGATAATTATTATGGGTGTTTGCAACTAGTGCTTGCATGTTGTCTGGTAAGGCCTCCAGTGAGGATGTTTTGGTAGGGCTCTGTTGTACGTTTATTTAGAGTCAAGTGTAGACGTAAGTAGTGAGGGTATTGATATCATGCACACTACGTAGTAGATGTCCAAATGTTGATTCAGCTAATCCTCATCTCTTGCAGTATGTTCATAATCTGATGCCACGAGGTCAGTACACGTCAGGGAAAGGGTCCAGTGCTGTCGGTCTGACAGCCTACGTCACTAGAGACCCTGAGACAAGGCAGCTGGTCCTTCAGACGTTAGTCCCTCTCTCTTCTTCTTCTTCTATCATGTGGTACTGAATCTCTATTGTGTCTGTTTCCAGCGGTGCACTGGTTCTGAGTGACAACGGGATCTGCTGTATCGATGAGTTTGACAAGATGAATGACAGTACCAGAGCCATTCTTCATGAAGTCATGGTACATTGGGGATTAACTGCATCTTTTAGTAGTTGGATTCTTTGTCACTGTTGATATACACACTGTAGTAGGTACACCCTAATTGGGAATAGGCAGTAATAAACGAAGACAGTAAAAGATGTGTATGTATGTGTAAGTATCGTGAGGCATGCGCCAGTAAATTATGTGTATGCATAGTTAGGGGTCAACAAAAGACCAGATAAGGTCTGGTCTTTTGTTGACCTCTTACTGTGTACTGTATATGTAATACTGGAAACCTTGTAACTGTAGGAGCAGCAAACTATCTCCATAGCCAAGGCTGGTATCATCTGCACCCTCAACGCCAGGACCTCCATCCTGGCTGCCGCCAACCCCCGCATGTCTCAGTGGGACGAGCGATCGACTGTGGTGGAGAACATCCAGCTGCCCCACACCCTCCTCAGTCGATTCGACCTCATCTTCCTCATGTTGGACCCACAGGACGAGCAGTTTGACAGACGACTGGCGACTCATCTGGTGTCTCTCTACCACCAGAGCAAGGAGGACGAAGAGAATGTGTTTATGGTTAGTGATAATAGTGCAGTGGATATCTTAGCCTTGGAACTTAGGTCTTCTCCGATTACGTGGTCTGCATTGTGCAATTAAGGATCTGGGATCCTAGAATGCGTCTGTTGTGATAGATGCATGTAGTGTACATTGTCTTTTAAGGTTGTTGAATGTGCCAGTAATTGAACAGTGTAACTATTGGAAGAATGCTGTTCCCAATGTGATGCTATTGTGTTTCTTGAAGCATTGAGTACACTATCTTCACATGGTACAGGACATGTCATCTCTGAGGGACTACATTGCCTATGCCAGATCATACATCCAGCCATCACTGTCAGAGGAGGCAGGCCAGGCTCTGATCCAGGCTTATGTCGGTTAGTGACTACAATAGCTTAATACACTGTGCCATACATTGTGGGATTGGGGATTACATTGACACAGGCTAAGATTTGGGCCTCAATGAACTCATACCTTTTCATTTCTCAATGCTCATTACTCAAGAAATCAATGTGTTGGAGTGCTGAGTACATAATGTCATTCAGTTCTCTATGTGTCTGTCTGTCTGTTGTAGACATGAGGAAGATAGGGAGCAGTCGAGGGGCAGTGACAGCCTACCCAAGACAGCTGGAATCTCTCATTCGTTTGGCAGAGGCCCATGCCAAGATGAGGTCTGGTACACAGTGTTACATGGTATAGTTGATGTTCTCTCTGGTTGGTTAGGTTTTCAGGTACTGTGGAGATAGTGGATGTTGAGGAAGCAAAGAGGTTAGTTTTGTTATGATCTACAACTATGCCTACTATGTTTCCACATACATAGCTTACCATAAACTAGGGTCATCAACCAGGTCCTGCAGAGATGGACGGAATGAGCTCCAAGAAGAATGTCTTCATAAACTAGCCCCTATTTTATGATAACTGTGGGAAGGTGTCAACTGATTGACAAACTTAAGGAAATGTGTTCAGTTTGTCCTTCTCTGTCAGACTCCACAGAGAGGCTCTCAAGCAGGCGGCCACAGACCCAAAGACAGGTATCATAGACGTGGGTATCCTGACGACGGGAGTGAGCAGCTCGGAGCGAAGTCGACGCCAGCTGCTGGCCAAAGAGCTACTGAAACTGCTGCAGTCCAAGGCCAAGTCTGGAGCTCAGCTCAAGACACAGGCTGTCCTGGAGATGATGCAGGCTCAGTCTCAAGTGGTGAGCTATGAGGAAAATATGTACTACGGAATTCACACTACGTTCATTTGTGATTTTCACTCAAGTTCATTAATACTAGCCAAGTCCTCACGGTATGGACACATCATCCAGTGGGGGCTCATGATTAACCCAGTCAACAGTGCCTGCCAGTAGTAGGCCTAGCCAGTAACCGTTTTGTTGACTTGAAATAATTCTCCCCCCTCTCCCTGCAGCCGGTGAGTCAGGCTCAGTTTGAGGCGGCTCTGAGGATTCTGAGAGATGAAGATGCCATCACTGTGACGGGGCAGACCGTCAGAGTCTGCTGAACTATAGTGATACACTATGACTAACTAACTACAACGTACTGTGTGAATTTTAGTAGTAGAGGCAGCAATGAACTGCTGGACTTCATGCAAGTATACCTCTGTCTGCGCCAAGTGCGGTAAGGGTCTCACCCAGGCAAGTACTCTAGTAATCATATTCATGACTAAACGTTGGTCATGAATAATTATGAATACTGGGAGTGTGCTCCACTGAAGCATAGAACCCACTCATGTGTTGTTAATAGATGGTGGAATGGACTCATATCTCAGCACATGTACTTCAAACAATGGTGGAATGAACTCATCTCAGCCATATTATAACCCATATATTTTTAGTGCGATTAGACAAGAAATAAATACACACATCAGAGGAAATTTTATGCATAAGGAAATTACACACTTGGAAAAGTTTGGAAAATGTTATTTCTGGAGCCCTGTAACAATGGTGGAAATGTGGTGTTGATAATTCTCCTCCTGTGATGGCACAACTTCCAGGCTCACTACACCAGGTGTAGTAACCTGTGATAATATCACGACAATGATTTCACTCTGATACACTGCAATGTACCACGAAAATGAATGCACTATTATGGTGAACCAACCTCAGTTTCCAGTTGGTGATTACCATTGGTAATACCAGTCACCTGCAGTAATGTTATACACTACACAGTTGATTTTCCAATGAACAAATATTACTAGCTCTGTAGAATCAAGTCCTGGGGATAACTGCCCTGCAGCTCCAAACAGTTCCAGTCACCTCACAATTCCAGTCACCTGCAGGATTATACCTTATTCTCATGCTAACTCCTGCAGTAAACATTATGTAATAGTTACCAGCTCTGAAGGGTTTGCAGTCGATTCTTCCGCTCCCGGCTGAGCGATGTGTGCGTGCAGCTCGCGGTAGTGTTGAACGACGCCGTTGCGAGGTGCAAGATGAGCGAGGTAAGCCACTAGCAGTACTAACAGCAGTATGATCACTGCCACTGATATCGTTATGCAGTACATGCTCGCCTTGAAAACGAGGCCCCTCGCACTCCACGCACTATGCGCGGTAGTAACAAACTTTTATACCGCGCGCGCGCGGCCGACGACTTATAATTGCTGCGGAAGATCGAATACGCAGCTAGCAGCCATTGTCCGGCCCGCCCCCCCCGCCCCTGCGTCCCCGGCGGCGCGGCGGCCCGGCCGGCCAGGCGCCATTGCCATGCATGCGCGCGCTGCTGCTGCATGTTAGCATGATCACGTGACACAACGTTGTGCGTGCGCCGCCTCTCGTCGATCGCTCGCAGAGCGCCTACAAAGCGCGATGGGGCATGAAAAACGAAGCTAGTTCAGAACCAGCTAATGAGTCTTCTCTCTCTAAGCCTCTGCCTCCTCCTGGCCCTCCTCCTCCCACAGCACAGGTCTCCCCTGCCTCCATTCCTCACTGGCACCTTTCTCTCTCCTCCCCTCCCTCTCCTCCCCCACCTGTATGGCAGGGCCCAGTCTTCCTGCCACTGACTCCACCTACACATTATCACACAGCAACCAACACTGATAGTGATATGGGATCATCTTTGCTCATTACTCATGGGTCTATGTATATAGCCTATACCGGCTTAGTTGTCATTTTGTGCAAGCTCATATTATATTATATAGCATGTAATATATGATGTTCTGATATACTATAGCTAATGTGATGCTATTGTGTGCGATGTATGCCTGGGAGGGCGTACAAAACCTTTTTTTTTTAAATACGAAAAGTGTAGACAATTTCCTGACAGTATCTCTCAATTGATCATATACCTCAGAGTCAGGGTTGGTAGGTCTGTGAGTCTGAGTCTTGCTCTTGAAAAGCTGGAACTGTTTCCCTGCAGCCCTCATCTCTCCATTGTTGTAGAGGACGATGGAGTAATTGAGGTGAATGAGAGGGTTATCCCTGGAGGGGGGAGGTTGTATGGGTGTTTATTATAATGATTCTGTAGGTCCAGTGGTGTTATGTGTACCTTTCTAGGGTGAGAGCTTGTTCGTATGACTTGCAGGCATTCTCATAGTCATCCAGGTGAGCCAGTGCAACTGCAGGCAGACAGAATACACACATCAGGTACTCAACACATTAGCAAAGGGGTAGGAGCAAGTGCAAAATGATTCTCAATGAGAACCAGCATGCATAAGAACAACAACTCACTGCACTCACTTCAGAAACTAGAAAAGGTGCCGAGGCAAAGGTCCTGACTTACATTACTAGACAAAACTCAGACCCGAATGACTCCCACAACATTAATTTTAGATTTGGAAATGTTCCCCAGAAGGGGATGGGCTGCCACTAGCATCGGTGCAAGACTAGGGCAACCCTCGAGGGAGGTGGAGCAAGCCCCAGACCTTCCCTCCTGGCTCAAAAATTGATGTAATATCGAGCAGGCATTGCCTGCGTACCAGATATTACACTGGTAAGAACAGTTATTTCTACTTGATCTTAGCCACCGAGAGGGCCGAGAGAAGAGCGATGCAGGATAGTTTCCAGCACTCCTTTATTACGGAGACCGCAAAATGCTGCGGTTTTTCTCAAATATTCATTACACTTCCTGGCCAGAAATATGCACTGGGGAGTATGAGAGCTCGGTAATTATCTCCCAACATAATGTACATCCTTTGTCATGGTCTCCTATCCAACACAAACCACAAACACACCTCTTATGATCTGGCTGTGGACCCTCGTAGACGGCAATGGGCCTAGTCGTCTTTGTATTTATAGTAGAGAAGAGGTTCCATGCTGTTGTAGTGCAACATATACGACACTTTAGCCAATTTTCACGACAGAAAGAACTGCTCACATAGTGCACTCCCAAACAACTGAAGGCCTACAAAATTTCACGAGAGGAAATTTTGTAGACAGCTAATAAAAACTACGAAATTGTGAGTGCCTTCCTCGACAGTTTCCAAGAGTATC